ATTTGGTTAACTTAATAGGTCTGAAAAACTAATAAGCCACATACATGAACATATATTGCAGTTCCTGGGGGGAAAAACGCCTCTGCCTCTGCCTTTTTTTCTGTTGTAAACACATTGTTCATGTTTTATTTCCACAGGTGAGCTACTTTGTATTGGTATTAGCGAGCGTTTAGCAGTTTCTACTTGTTTTTGGGACATTCAATGTTTTTGCAGTTTTTCCCATTTTAATAAGAATTCTCTACGCACAATGCGAACAGACCCGTGACCATCCCTTTCCCCGCCCTCTTGTTCAGGTGCTGCTGCTGGTTAGTTGAAGGGCTCGCTTTCTGCAGTGATCAGTCGTCCTGTCAGCTCCGCCCTCACCGACTTGCTTCCAGACTCAGGGCAATGAGGGCCACTTGCACAGTACTGCACACACAAGTACACACACAACACACACACTACCACACACACACACCACACACACACACACACCTTTAGTAGCAAAGATGTCCTCTGGTACAGGGACTGATCAATAATGTTGTTGCTGCCTGACATATAGCCCAGTTGTCAAATAAGAATGACTACTCGTTTAAACCGGTTAGGAGCTGACACTTCTTTGTAGCAAACGGTGTGTGTACTGGTTGCCCGATCAATACTGGCTTAGTCAGTCCCAGCAGCAACAGACGTGAGTGGACACCCAGTATCTGTTACTCTGTTTCTCTACATGCACCACCAAACATCAAACTAAAGACTGATAATTGCGAGCTTCTTCTATATTTTCCTTGTTGACAAACAATTCCATTAAAGGACCAAAACTAACAGTGATGTATCGTGCAGGCCCACTTTGGTGGTTTCCTCAGAGCCGCCATCTAGCTTGGGCCGGCAGGCAATTAGTTTACAGGTCCAAATGGTAAGATTAAACAGATTATTTATTTACGTGATTCAAAGCCTGTGTACACAAAAATACACTACTTTGAGCTAAAGTTTGGACTGATGTTCAGTGTTCCAGCTGTAAAGAAAGTAATTTGAATTACTTGAGCTCTCCTAAAAAGACACAGGACTAACACATGTTGAGGTTACGGCCTTTTGTGGAGTTGTTGACTAAATTAAGAAAAATGTAGTAGAACAAGGTAGATGTTTGAATTAGTCACTTATCTTTCGATTACGATTATCATGTTTCATTCCTCATGGCATCACGATGCTTCAAATTACATTTTTTTCTACAAAGCCATACTAGGTATTGACTTTGACTGAATGCATAAGGATACTGTATAAGTTCAAATATAATACAGTTTCTCCCTGACAGTCTCCCTGTCAGCCCCCCCCTGTCCTGTCGCGCCCCCCCCCCTGGACATCTCACTATTTGGAGGGAAGTACTAGGTCTAGATGAAACAGGTTAGGCTACGGAATGTTATTTTTCATATGAATGTTTATGGCGCGGGCTGGAAAATGAACGAGCCGACATCATTGCGTATTATAATCGATTTATGGTGGCCACATCATTCGACTGCGCAATGTCCATGTAATTCATCGCGATGCATCGGATTATTTGATTAATTTCAAACCTCCAGAACACAAGGTCACACCATATACCTCAAAGTCCAACAAAAAAACAAAACACACACACATTTTCACACTTCTCTGTTTGTCCTGTCTAGTTTGGTGTGACACTCGCTGTATCTGATCCTGAGTGAAGGAGAGAGGATGCAAAAGCTCCGACCCCACTGTCACTCCAATGACGACAATCGATGGTAAGCTTGCGACGTCAACTGCCTTTCTCGTGCATTGAGTTCACATCCCTGAGACAGTTCAACTGCCCTGAGTGAATTTATTTTATCTTTCTCGTCATTCACTTCTTTAAACGTTCTCTGCTTTTTTTTCCCCTTCTGCGTTAACCGCATTACCCCCACCCACCCACCCAGGACTGAGCTGGGTGTTTTCAGTAACGAGGGATTGCTCAGCGTTCCCTCCCTCATCCCCTTTCATCTCCCTCTTCCACCCCTCCAACTGCTTTCCCTCCTATCACGCATACGTTGATGACAGAGGCTGGAGTTGTTGCAGACAGCTACAGTGAGAATGCATCAAACACACACGCACACAGGAGTGGATGTTACATTTTGTGTTGCATCGCACACGTGTTATCCCTTTAAATAATTGAGCTATGTGTATAGTTTTTGGGAATTTAACTAGGCTGCCAACGATCTCCTCGAGTAACTCGATTACAAAAAAATGTATTGAGGAATTTTCCTCTGCTCGAAGCTCGTTTAATTAATTTAGGAGCTCACGTTTCGCACGGATTCTTATTTAGTGTGACACAACGTGCTTACGTTCAAAGGCTAGGTCCCAACGAAGGCGGAAGAAGACGGAAGCGGCTTTTGGATAACGTGTGTGGATTAGTGATGCGCGGTCTGGGTTTTTTCCAACCCGCGGTCCCGCATTTATTTAATAATTTACCCGCTCCATCCCGCCCGCACAACGCATCTATTTCACAAAACCCGCAACCGCCGCCTATTAAATTTAAAAAAAAACGTTAAATTATGTCTTATTATTGGTCTGCAAATGTGCTTGAAAAACAGCACCTTCGAGTGGCACCTGGAAACTGGCCACAACAAATTCAAATTTAATTAAAAATAATATATATACGTATAAAAATTAAACAATAAAAAATCATAAAATAAAAAAAAATAGGCCTTGCATTTGTGTAGGTATTATTTGCAATAAAAAGAATAAACAAGAACCATTATTAACCACATAGGCTAAAAACAGACGCATCCACCTTACAGGCTTACACCTGTTTCCTAAAGGTTTCTTATAGCAATAAATAGAATATGAACCTGTACCACATAGCGGTATTTCTCATGAAGGCATTGGCATTTAACGCTTTTGTGACGATCAGGTCGAGGTGGATTACCAACAGTGTTCGTTAAGAAGATAAGGCTGTATTGGAACATATATTTAATCCTTAATGACCCGCCATGCCAATAAAAGATAAAACATTTCTTGACCCGACCAACCCGACCCGGCGGGTAAACCCGCGAGACATAACAGCACGATAATGTTGAATGTTAAGTTTGACAAGTATTTATTTTATTATTTTTATTTGGAAATTTTTGAACTGAACGGTTTTATCTACTTTGCAAATATGTATTAATAAGATAAATGTCATTTTTCTTTAAAAAGGAAAACAAATTGTTGTTATTATTAAGTGATCTGTCTTTATATATCTGTAGATCATGTATATTTAATAATTGGGGCTTTAATTAAGCAAACAAGTATGTTTTATCCGATTATCAATTTAATCGATGGAATATTCGATGAAATACTTACCAAAATATTGGATAGCTGCAGCCCTAGATATTACGGTTAAATATAGATCATGTCAGAGTAAAAACAGAAGCTGCCTGACTGAACATAAAAACTTGTTTTCCTTTCTCAGGATCTCTGCTTTGTCCAGGTAGAAGTTACAACAGACATCAACACGACCCCCTCCCCACTCGATGCAGACCTTTCTTTTTGTGCGTGTCAGAAGAGTGTGTGTGGGTGTGTGTGTGCGCGCTGTTGAGGTGAATCCATGGTGGATGATTTTAATCCAGCAGAATCTCTATAGTTACTTTAGTTTTTCTTTGTGTTTAGTCTCTGGTGTGTGTGTGTGTGTGTGTGTGTACGTGTGTACGAGAGAGTGACACAGAGTGCATGAGACGGACAGTCTGAATGATAATGAAATCTGCATTTTTAAATATCTTGTTTACGATTATGCCTGTGATGAACCTTCAAATTAAAAAGTATTTCTATTATATAACAACGTGGACTGCACTTTTCTTGCCCCTCTTTCTACACATCCTCGACAACCGTATTAAGAGTACTCTACCCATTTAGCACTGCAGTCCTATAACATTGTCAGACTCAATGGACGTCAATGAGATGTTTTTTCATTCTATGCATTTGGGTTTGTTATGCTAGTAGCATCTAATGTATCCTTTAGCATCCAACAGGCTTCAGAAGATCTGAACTCACTTAGAACTCCACGCAGACTCATTTGACTCAAATGACATCACTTTATCAGATTTCACAGTTCCCTCTGGAGCCTTTAACAATGTTTTCCCCCACAATGCAAGAGCTGTAAACAGACTTTGATATGTAAATACTGCTAAAATAACTTCCAACTGGCATCATCTGTAGAGATCAATAAATAATAGATTAAATATTTAAGATTCTAGACAATATGTGACCTGACAACGAGGGGTCATAGAGGCACTGAGTGAGGAAGTTACGGTGATGTACAGGGATTAAATTCACTAGCCTACAATTAAAAGGAAAATCTCCATCAGGCAGATATTAAAGCATGGCAGCTGTTAATGTTGAGTGCTCTATTTGTTGCAAAGGGTACGTTACTGAAGAAATGGGGCTGATATGTTTTCTATAACTAGCACCACAGAAGATCAAGAATATGAGCTCTCCACTGAGGTTCTTTATTTATTTGAAGAACACAAATGCAGTGAGACCAATAAAAACAATGAAGACAGTACAGCTGTCCAATTACCTTACTAGTTATCACCTCTTATCCACTGTTTTATTCCAGCATCTGCAGTTAATCAATACATTTGATTCTAATGCAACACTATTATAATGGAGGTTGTAAGTGAGCATGTCTCCGGGATGAGGACCATTCAAGGTTTTAGTTCCACCTTCATGTCCTCAGTTCTTGCCTGCTGCCCCCTGATGGCCTTGAAGAGATGCAGCACAAAGAGTACTTTTATATTTGCGGTGAAAGTAGAAAAAGGAATGATTTCATTCTGGTTTTAAACGGCGTTAATGTTAAAGCACCTCTCTAGGAAGGTATTCCAGGAGGTAGGACAATAAAAACCAAAAGCCTCTTCAGATGGACAGCTAGAAGGTCCAAGCCAGTTAAGCTAAGAGCTCTGTGAGGTTCATACTGGATGAGCAGAGATGTACTCTGGACCAAGGCCATGTAGGACTTTAAGTAAAAAAAGTACAATTTTGTTTTTCTGTGTCTGAGACAATAAGCCTCTTACTCTTGGATATATTTTGAGATGATAAAAGGCCGTTTTTATTGGGTATGGGACTACGGCCTAAATTAAAATGAAAAAATACCCAAGTTTCCAACGCACCCATAATAACTCAGATTTTGGGATGTAGTAAACCAGTAATTTAACAGCCATTAGGTTTCCAGAGGACACTGATATGAATAACTGTTTTTCCACCTTGTTCACTAAGACTTTGGACTTGTTAATGTCTTGCCTGTGCAGACCACCTCAACAGCAGAGGAGGAGAACCACTCCTTTACAGTTCCACAGTCCAGCAGTGCAGACTCAGATCCATCACAGTCAGAGAAAAAACGCAACACGGTTTCCTGTGCAGGTAGATCAATCTCTTTGGTTGAAACGGCGGAACCACAGCCCAGTTGTCTACACACAATAGAAGCGTGCTTCAGGTCCCAGACTGTGGACTCAGCACTCAGCAGTCTCCACGCTTCCCTCTGCATCACCAACAGTTTGCCGGCACAGGTCTCGCTGTCATCCTCTCTGAGCACGCCATCGTCCAGCATCACATTTTGAAATTCGACTAGTCAGGGATTAGCAGGAAAAGCCCAGGTAAGTTTAAACAAGTAGGAAGTCATATTTAACAATTATCTATTATTATACTGCTGTATTTGATCATATATGGTATGTACAGTATCTGTGCAATTTACATTTCAAATTGTACAAAATTCCATTATCTTACCATTGACCCTGAGCGAGAGGCTCTGGCTCTCAGAAGAAAAGTTACGATTGAAAACAAAGTTGTGATAAACACAGCTGTAGTTCCCTTGGTGGGCCTGGTCTGCAGCAGCATAGGTGAAGAAGGCGGAGTGATTGACAGCTGGCTGGGTGCGGCTGTGGGTTTGGTTGAGGCCTGTGAAGATGAGGCTGAAGTGACCTCCGGGGTATTGTGGCTCCACAGAGCAGTTGACAATGAAGCTGTGGCCCTTGAAGAGCTGAACATCCTGCTGCTGGTCGTCAGAGAGCACGCTACTCGAGAAAACAGTGATTTTTGGCCGAAGCAGGGTGCCTTCAGACAAAGACGGACAGAAACCGGAGATGGAGCTTTACGAATGTAAGAGTGCACAAGCTTGTACCTCTCTGCCCACCAAGAGCCTGGGTCTGCTCAAGGTTTCTACTGTTAAAAGGAGGTTTTTCCTTGCCCCTGTCGCCAAGTGCTTGCTCATGGTGGGAATTGTTGGGTCTCTTTAAATAATTTTATAAGGAATACAGTCTAGGGCAGACCTGCAATGATGACAGATAAAGGTGTA